ATCCTACCTAATCCTGCAAAGCAAAAAGGGTTTATATCTGTCGGTAATGCTCCTCTACCCACGGTGGGCACATGTTAATATGTCCACCGCTTATGTGGCATGCACTCATTGGTTATGTTAACATGTTCAAAAAAATACATGATCAATGTGTGCATGCCACATAAGCGGTGGACATATTAACATGTGCCCACCGTGGGCATGGGAGCATTACCGTTATATCTGTAGATAATATTTGACTTATTTTAAATACATAAAGTAATTTTCTTGATACCCAAACAACACCCTAAATTTCGTTCTTACCACGCACACTTGACTCACACGAACCATATCAAAGAGATCGTGACAATGCTCTCAACCATTCATTCAAAAAAGGTTTAATTTGGACTTTTGAACAAAGACAATGAAACATTTTGAATACTTCATGCCATATAATAAAGTAGACAAAAGAAATTATTTCACATCGATTTTTCAAAATTGATGTAACAAGTAAAACGATGACATTCTTGTAATTGAAATTTCATGTTAAACACTGATTTTTTTTTTATTTTTTTTATATAAATTGATTTTACCAAAATGAATCACGGTCAATTTGATGAGTATATTAAACGGGTCAATGTCCCTAAAGTTATTAATATATTATAATAAAAAAAGTTGAGATTAATAAGGCCTCAAATTCAGATTTCTTCTCACAATTTCCTCGACTTTGTTTCGTTAACTGAATTTCCGTTCGAGTCTACTTGGACAATGTTCAGTGTTCGTAGTATGTTCGAGCCATTCATTGTAATTCCCATGATTTTGAAAATCGGACCGGACCACCAGCCTTCAATGCGGTCTGGTTTTTGGACCATAAAACCGGTAGGCAATCGAACAGTCCAAAAACCGTTCGAACAGGTCCAAACTCAGTCGAACCGGTGAACCAGAACCAGTTTGAACGATTCAACGGTTATGTCTTTTGAACTTGGTAGGAGTTGATTGTGATGCCATTTAAATAACACATTTTTTACTTGTGTTTCTAATTTGAGATATAATCACAAATAAAGGTCCTTTTTTAATATATTAGACTAATATTGGGCCTTACAAGTAGGGATGAGCGTGGGTCGGTACGGTTCAGAGATTGATAAATCTCCAGAACCGTACCAAAGTTCGGAGATACTAAAATTCTATCTCCGGAACCATACCAAAAAGTCGGTTCGGTCCGGTATGGAGATTTTTATTTTTCGATTCGGTATTCGGGACTATTGGGACGGTACGGTTCGGTATGGTTTGGTTCGGATCTTCGAAGATTTCTTTTTTTTTTTTTAGATTTTTTAATGACTACTTAGTTATATTTTAATTTTTAAATGCTTTAAAAAACAACATTCATCAATAATTCGTCATATTGAAGATTTTATTTTGAAATCAATTTTAGAAATAACTCTAAATTTTAGTTATTTAATTTTTATATGCTTTAATAAAACCAACATTCATCAATACTTCCTCATATTAAAATTTTTATTTTGAAATCAACTTTAGACGTAACTCTAAATTTTAATTAAGACTAAATTTGTGCAACTAATATTAAAAATTAAAGAAAAATATAATATTTTTTCTAAAAAAATATTCTTTAACCTTTCATATTATTTTAAATAATTATTTTATAATAGAAAAAATTCAATTGTAGATCAAGTATTACTAAATATGAAAGTCAAGTGAAGGTTAATAGTTATTATTACTATATTATAAAGGATCAAAGTGACATAAAATATATTAATAACACATCTAATGTTATAATTCGGTTCTTAATTTCGGTTCTTCGGTTCGATACGGTATGAGACGGTTCAGTTCGGTTCTCGGTACGGATATTTGTGAAATCTCCAGAACCGTACCAATTATTTTTTCGGTTCGGTTTGGTTCGGAGAAAGTCAAATGGTCAACGGTTATTTTTCGGTTTGGAGTGATTTCGGCTCGGTTTTTAGAACGGTTCGGAATTCTCCGAATCCCATGCTCAGCCCTACTTACAAGCAAAATTGTGTCCATTAAAAGAAATATATACTATTTTATATATTGAGCTATCTATTGGGCCATATCTATTCTCAAATTATTGAAGAAGAAAGAAGCAATTTATTTTATGTGTTATGCACATAATTTTTATTTTTAATTTTTTAACCAATAATAAAAAAACTTAAAATATGATTCAAAATTAAAATAGAA